GAGAAGTTTGTCAAAGATTCATTTAATTGCTGGTTAAGATAGTTTTGTATGAGAGAGCTTTAGTATTTTGGCAGATTGCTCATATGAATCGGTAAATATTTTTATGTGTTGGAAAAATACAAGTGTTAATGTCTTTGACCAATATGGTTTTCTGCTAACTTTTATTTTAGTGGAAGTTGAGGTAGCCAAATAAAGATTGATTTTTCTAATGTATATCTTAAAATTTGTGTAGTTATAAATACCTTAAACTTCTTTAAAACTTCAAAAATTACAGCTGAGGGTATCAGACAAATTAAGTCAATATTCATAAGTATTTAGAACATGTTTTATGGTATTTTAAAATAATTATTTTGTAATGTTTATAAAGCATTAAAAATTTTTGAACTTTGGATTATTTTTTTAACTTTAAAACTGATACATAAAAGTATAATTATAGTGGGGCAGGAGTAATGGATCAGTGGTTAAGAGCATTGACTGCTCTACTCTTGCAAAGGACCCAGGTTCAATTCCTAGCACCCACATGGTGGCTGACAACTGTCTGTAACTCCAGTTCCAGGGTATCCTTCTGACCTTCGTGGACATTGCATGACATGGGTGCACTTACACACATGCATGCAATACACTCATACACATAAAATAAAAGTAAAATTAAATAGATGATTATATTAATGAGGTATTTAATACTTTGGCATATATATGCATTATGTAATGTTCAAATTAGGTTAAATAGATCTGTCTTAACATTTACCCTTTCTTTTTGTTTGTTTGGTGTTTTAAGGCAGGATCTCATTATGTAGTTCAGACTGGCCATGAACTCCCTATATAGTCCAGTCTGGCTTCAAATTCATGGTGGTCCTCATGGCTTAGCCTCCTGAGTGCTAGGATTATACGCATGTGTCATCATGCCTAGCTAATTTTTTTAAGGTGAATTCTCAAAATTCTTGTGGTGTATTATCTGTAGTCTAGTACAACAGAAATTCTTGCTCTTATCCTTAGCCTAGTATGCATTGATCATTCTTTTCTAACTCCACCTCCTCAGTTTGTTTCTTGATATCAGATACTTACTTTTTTATTGACAAGTAATTGGGAAATTTAAATTGCCTCTCTTAACTCTGGTCTTAGAAAATGCTACTACTTCACCCTGATTCTTAATTTAGTACTCTTAAAAGCCTATTCTTAGCATTATGCTTTATTATGCAACTCATAGTTGTCAGGCAGTGTCATGTTGAGTGTATTATCTTTATGAAATGTAGCTTGAAATAACCAAAACTTTAATCTTTTTAAATGTAATTTTTCTGTTATGCATAGAATAGTCAATTTTTGATGAAGCTTTTTTCATCTTTAGTTTTTGTCAGACATAGTATCTTTAACATTAATAGACTGTGACCATCAGCTGTTAGTATAAAGTTAATCTACAAAAGAATTGAGGCAGATTATTTAGGGGATTTGAGAATGACTGGTGGTCTGTTGTAGTTACATTGTACCTTTATGTAACTTGGCTTAACCTCATTGTTTTAGCTCAGCAGATATCTCAATAACATTAAGGAACAGAGGAGATGATGCCTTTAGGGCGAATGTGTATGGCGATTCTATAGTTGTTCAACAACACATCAGCATGGATGGAAGTCGATCTTACAAATTAAAAAGTGAAAAAGGTTTGTTGGGTTTCTATTTCTTTTTTAACAATTATTTTCTATTTTAAGTGTATGAGTGTTTTGCCTACATGTATGTAGCACACCTGTGTTGTGCAGTGCCTACAGAGACCAGAAGAGGGAGGTGTCAGATCCCCTGAAACTGGAGTTAAGGATGGTTGTTAGTTGCCCTGTGGATGCTGGGAACTGAACCCAGGCCCTCTGGAAGAGCAGTTCATGCTCTTAACTGCTAAGCCATCTCTCCAGCTCCTCTTTTTATTTCTTATTAAATATTAGTAAATACTTTGAAAAGTTACATGGTTGTTACTATACATATATACATACATATATTTAGGAACTTGCATGTTTTACACTTGTTACTATAGGAGATTATAGAGTAAACATAATGCTTAGCAGAATTAATTTGAAACAGGTTGTGTCATTTTGCAACCGTAGACTTTCTTCCCCAGGATTTCTACAGTTTAAAGATGGTAAAAGGTAGAAAAGGCCGTAAAGGAGGAGGTAAGTGTTCAGTTAGTGAAAAGAAGGGATAGCTGGGAGCCATACAAAAAAGTAAGCACTATTGCTGCCCTTGGACTTTTTCTACTCCATGCACTTGTGCCATGACCTGTGTGTCACCCTGAAACTACATATATTTACTGGTACCTTTTTTGTTGGCATAATGAAAAGCAATTAATGTTACTATTTTATAGGTAATTGTACCTTTTCTCTGCGTTTCACTCAAAGCAATCTGGTCATTTTGTGTTTCTTCTAACTAGGGCACGTGGTTTCTACTAGGAAAGAAGAGCTGATTGCAATTCTTGATCATTTTAATATCCAGGTAATTGTACATTTTTTTTCAGGTTAAGTAATGCAGCTGTCTTTTTTTTGTTGTTGGTATAGTTTTGCTTGTTACATGCATATAAGCAATTCAGAAGGCCTCATAAGTTGATAAGAATATGTGCTTTATGTTCAGTGAGTGTCCTTAAAATTTAACAATTCAACACAGATTTTTTTTTTAAATACTTTGTTTGTTTTAAAAAAAATATGAGTATGTGTCTGTGTGAGTGAGTGCCACATATGTGCAGGTGCCCAAGGAAGCCAGAATTGGGCATTGCATTCCTTGGAGCTAGAATTAAAGGGAGTGGTGAGCTGCCTCATGTGGATACCGGAAACTGAACTCAGGTCCTCTGCAAGAACAGCAAGTGCTCCTAACCACTGAGGCGTCTCTCTAGCCCGTCAACACAGATTTTTTTTTTTAATTTACTGTTTTAATTTTTTTATGTGTATGAGTATATTGCCAGCACGTGTTTAAATCGACCTGTGTTGTGCAGTGCCTGTGGAGGTCAATCGAGGGTTTTGGATCCTCTGGAACTGAAGTTATGGATGGTTGTTAGCTGTCACGTGGGTGCTGGGAATCAAACTTGGGTCCTCTGCAAGAGCAGCTAGTGTTCTCAACTGCTGAGTCACCTCTCCAGCCCCCCCCCATTCATTTATTTTTATATTTTATTTTATGTGTATGAGTGTTTTTGCCTGCTTGTATATAAGTGTACCAGGTGCAAGCAATGCCTGCAGAGGCCAGAAGAGAGCATCAGATCCCCTGGAACTGGAATTTCTGATGATAGTAAGCTACTGTGTGGGTGCTGGAAACTGAACCAAGGTCCTCCCAAAGAGCAGCCAATACTCTTAACCACTGAGCCATCTCTAGCCTTCAGCACAGATTTTTAATATATCATGTGGCATCCTTAATTTGATTAAGCAGTTAAGAATGTTTTGTTAAAATTCATCTTAATAATACTATAAATTTTTTTGTATAGTATAGGAATAAGAATTCTATTTCAGAAGTAATCAAAAGAGTATAGAGAAAGGACTATAACCTTTGATGGTGCTGCTACCCCAAAGTTGGTAGAGTAAGATGTTTGACAATACACTAGTATGTTAGGTCTTATTGTCAGATGTAGTTAAGATCCAGGGAAGCATTGTTAAAAACCCTCTTTCCCTTCCTCATCTCCTCTTGCCTTACTCTTCTTTTCAGGCAAGGTCTCAGTGTATAGCCTTGACTGACCTGGAACTTGCCACTTAGAGCAGGTTGCCTTTGAACTCAAAGATCAGCCTATCTCTGCCTCCTGAGTACAGGAATTAAAGATGCCTGGCTGTAAATTAAAAAAAAAAAATTTTTTATTTTTATTTTATGTGTGTGAGTATTAATGCCTTCAGTGCTTATGGAGGACAGAAGTGGGCATCAAAGCTCCTGGAATTGAAGTTATGGTTGTTAGCCACCAACATGTGGGTGCTGGGATTCGAACCTGGATCTTCTACAAGAACAGCCATAGTCTTTACCACTGAGCTGTCTCTCCAGCCCCTAAATTTTTTTTTTAAAGGACCAGAATTTTACCTAAAACAAATGTTTTAGATATTGGTTTAGCTACAGATCCTGCAGTTGTCATTTTTAATGGTAAAATGAAGAGTTTCAGATTTTCTTCTTTCGTTTATATGAGTCCCATATAATCTAGCATAAACATGATTATTTTTAGCATATAAATTTATTTATTAGTAGTACCAGGGATATTGAATGATGACCCTGAATCTTTTCAAACAAATTATATATACATGTATATCTAAATTTATTTATTTCTGTATTTATTTTAACGTGTATGAGTGTTTTGCCTGCATCTAGTCGGTGTACCTGTGCATGCAATGCCTGTGGAGACCTGAAGAATGCAACGGATCCCATGGTACTAGAGTTTCAGATGATTGTTAGCCACCATGTGGGTGCTGGGAACTGAACCTGGGTCCTCTGGAAGAGTCAGCCAGTGCTCTTAACCACTGAGCCATCTTCTCTCCAGCCCCACAAATTGTATATTCCACTTACCTCACCCTGCGTCCCTGTTCAGCGTGGAAGAAGCCAGAGCAGTCTGCATCCCTATTTCCTATTGGCAATTTGGGTAACCCCTTCAGAGGATGGTGTGATAAGAATAGGAGGTAGGAATTGGCTGGGCAGTTAGGGTAAAAAAGACCCCAAAGAAAAGTAGCCAGTTGCTTGGCTAAAAGTCAGAATATCCTTGGGACTGTTAGCAACATTCTCTGTTCCAAAGACCCAAAATGTCAAAAGTATTTGGGAGCTTGTATCTAAATCCTTAAAAGATTTTAGGTTTACCTTAAAGAAAAAGAAAAAAGTGATGGGGCAATATGGGAGGTGTTGGAAGGGAAGGACTGGGCATGGAGTTGATCAAAACACATTATATGCACATATGAAATTCTCAAAGTTTTTGTAAAAGTTAAAAAACAAAAACATATTTTAATCTTAAATAGGTTTAACTTGGTAGTTGAAAGTAGTTTTATTTAAGCAATGGTTTATTTAAAATGACTTGTGCTTCAAAAGATAGAAATAACATGTTTCTGTTTTTCTATTACCCCACAACATAATAAGGACAAGAAACCCTTTTTTTTTTTTTTTGAGACAGGGTCTCCTTGCTGCCCCAGCTGTCCTAGAACTCACTATGTAGACCAGGCTGGCCTTGAACTCAGAGATCCACCTGCCTCTGCCTCCCAAGTGCTGGGATTAAAGGCATGTACCACCACGCCTGGCAAGACAAGAAATCTTAAAGCACTGTTGAAAATGATATTTGACCATGATACTTATGATCAGAGATAATGGAATTGAACAAACTGTTACTGGGAATGCTCACTAACTTGCTTAACAAGGTTGCATACGAGACTTGGGACACAGTTCAGATAAGATGATAGGAGAGCTGAGGCTGCTGGTCCTGGTGTCATTCGATTGATACTCTATATAAACATGAAAAGACTTTTTTGCCTATGTGTGGCGTGGATGGGTATTCATGTTCACTTCTGTGTGAGCACATACATGTGTGTGTTAGGATGTGTATGCACATGCATGTAGAGGGCCACAGTTGACATTGGGTGTCTTAAGTTGCTCTTTATTTTATTGAGGCAAGGTCTTACTGAACCGGGTACTTGCCAGTTTCAGTAGTCTAGCTAGGCAACTTGCCTGGAGGATCCCTTGTCTCTGTCTCCCAAGTACTTAGATAGTGGCTACCATGCCTACTTGGCTGGCTTTTTAAGAGGGTTCTGGGGCTCTGAACTCCAGCCCTTAAACTTTCATGACGAAGCCTAATAGAAGCACATAAGAGGGTCCTTGAGCTTGTATCCTTGTAGTAGAATGTTGAGTCTGACTACAGTATTTGTTCTGTTACACAATTTTGAAACATTTTCCTTGTGTTAAAATTTATAATATTTGTCTATGTATTTTTATACTAATGCTACAAACTTTGATTACAGCTTAGCTTTCTTGATTAACCTTAGGTCAGCAGTAATGTATGTTTTAGTTTAAGTTATTAAAGTAAAATATTTAAATGATCTTTTAAAAAAAATTTGTTTCAGGTGGATAATCCAGTTTCTGTTTTGACGCAAGAGATGAGCAAGCAGTTCTTACAGTCTAAAAATGAGGGAGACAAATACAAAGTAAGAGTCACGCAATTAAATACAAATTTCCCCCAAAGCATGTGTGCTGATATATACCAAACTTGGTCATGTAATAGATAATGAGATTTTTTTTCACCAATTTAAAATAATATTCTAAGTAGATCTAAAATATTGCTAAGGAAGATGTAAGTTTAATCTTCTAGGTAGATCTTCATTTGTATGATTTTGCTTATTCTGAAAGACATTATTTATTTATTTATTTATTTATTTGTTATTTATTATTTTTTTGGCCTTTTTCAGACAAGGTCTCCCTGTAGCTCTAGTTGACCTGGAACTCACTGTGGAGACCAGGCTGGTCTCAGTCTCACAGGGATCCACCTGACTCTGCCTCCCAAGCAGTGGGATTAAAGGCATGTGCCACCACACTTGGTAGATAATTAATTTTTAAAAATAATCTTTAACAAAATGCACAGGAGCAATTGACCATAATACCTAGTAGCTTATAAACTTTATTTAAAACTTTTAAAATCTAAAGAACTATTTGATTGCTACTAAAACTTAGTGTGTAGTTTCTGAATGAGCTTTGATGTTCCCTTTTCTAAAATTTTTTAATTTTTTTTATTTTGTAGAAGAAGCATTTCATTACAGCTTTAACATACTCAATAAGATGCACTAAGATCAAAACCAGGAATGTCATGTATAATTTTTACTTTAAAAATGGAAGAATTTGTGAAAATGCAGGAATTTAAAAAATTTCAACATTGTATTGTTTTCATACTCAGAGGTATATTGTGGGGTATTAAGAGTTTTCACAGTTGAGCATGTAGATACTAATAGAAATAGAGCAGGGTCAATTAATTTGATTCTAAAGTAAGATTTGTTCTTGGCATTTATGTATGTGTGCATACATTTTTAATGCCTTTCTATGTAATTGATTTTAAAGTTTTCAGGGACGATTTTTTTTTTCTCTTTGGTCTTTTTGAGACAGGGCCTCTCTTCCCAGCTGGCCTGGAACTCACCATGTAGACCAGGCTGGCCTTGAACTCACAGAGACCCACCTGCCTCTGCCTCCTGAGTGCTGGGACTAAAGGTGTGTGCCACCATGCTCTGCAATTTTTCCTTTTTTATACTGCAGTCTTGCAAGCTCGTAATTGTGCTTTTCTCTTTGCTGGTATAGTTCTTCATGAAAGCAACCCAACTAGAACAGATGAAAGAAGATTATTCATATATTATGGAAACGAAAGAAAGAACAAAGGAACAGATAAATCAAGGAGAAGAGGTTTGTAAATACTGTAAACCTTTTTTTTTTTTAAATTTTAAAAATATTTTATTTTATGTTGTATGAGTGTATTGCCTGCATATACACTCGTGTTGTGCAGTTCCCTCAGAGGTCAGAAGAGGGTTTCAGATCCCCTAGAACTGGAGTTACAGATGATTGTTAATTGCTGTGTAGGTTCTGGGAACTGAGCCCAGGTCCTCTGCAACAGCAGCCATCTCTTCAGCCATTGTAAATCTTCTTTAGATGCACCAAATTCTTAGAGTACTTAAGGTAATGGTATTGTAAAATATTCTTATGTATGAATCTCTATCTTTATGAAAATATGATATTTTTATAGCACACTGGAGCATATGATGTTTAATTTTTATATTCAGGGCATTTCTTAGTCTTTTGTTTTGTAACAATGGGTATGTATATGTCTTCTTTTTCAGACTAAAGAAGAGAAGACCATATCTTATATACATATCCCTTGATATGTGGTTATACAATAAGGCACCGCACCACTGATTCCCACTGTAAATAGTTTTAAAATGTTTGCATAATGTTTTGTTGAGTACAGACCTCAAGGTGATATTACACATAACATGCACTTATGATTTCAAAATGTTAACATTCTTCAAGCCACTAGTGAGTTGGTAGCTGCTGTTCTTTAATGAAGTCATTTTCTAAGAAGTTTTTGTGTGTTACTAGTTTGGAACAAGTTGTAAAACATTTTCTGTTTTGATGTTAATAAAAATAAATGCTTTTTTTCTTTTTCTTTTTTTTTAAAGCGACTTACTGAACTAAAGCGCCAGTGTTTGGAGAAAGAGGAACGATTTCAAAATATTGCTGGATTAAGTACCATGAAGACTAATTTAGAGTATTTGAAACATGAAATGGCTTGGGCAGTGGTAATTTTTATCACTTGTTCACTTCATTTTATTTGTTTACAGCTTTCAGTGATGTTTGATAACTGTTAATGGTAATAATTTGCTATATAATTTCATTTCAGGTCAATGAAATTGAAAAACAGTTGAATGCTATTAGAGATAATATCAGAATTGGAGAAGAACGTGCTGCCAAACTTGACAGGAAAATGGAAGAACAGCAGGTACTTGGTTCTTTTTGTATAGAGGTAGTAGGTTAAATTATGTTTGATTATGATAATCCTGCTTGAGGCTTGAACTGCTGACTGCTCAAGAATGTGGACAGTGGAACTTTACTGTTGACTAGAGATACTGGAATGTGAAGCTTTTACTTTTGGATTCATGAAGAAGATGAAACACAGAAGACCTAAGAAATAGGGAGGTACCAAGGTAATTGTCAATTAGAATGCCATTAAAGGTATGTATTAGTAAATTGAAGAAGTGAGAAGTGAAAACTGTTCAGAGCAACTTAATTTAATTTAGGGTCTAGAATCCGTATTTCCTATTAGAGAATTTCCTATAGATAAAGTTTATTAGATAACTTGTTAGGTTTGTTCAGGTGAATTTAAACCTGAGATTTAAAATCACAGTAAGAAATACTGTATCCATCCAGAATTTTTAAAAGTTATAAAGCTTTTCTCAGGGGCTGGAGAGATGGCTCAGTGGTTAAGAACACGGGTTGCTCTTGCAGAAGACCTGGGTTCAAATCCCACACCTATATGGCAGCTAAGAGCTGTCTGTAACTCCAGTCCCAGGGGATCCGACGGCCTCTTCTGTCTTCTGCGGGCATTGCATGACATGGGTGTACTTACCTACATGCAGGCAATACACTCATACACATAAAAAAATAAAAATAATAAACTATTTAAAAAGGAAAAAAAACAGTTTCAAAGCTTTTCTCACGAATGTAGTGGTCACAGTTGGTAGAGCAGCAAACACAGACCCTGGGGCATTCCCAATAGTTTACTGTTCAGCAGGACCTGTCTTTGAAGAGCTCTTCATACTGAATCATTCACTTGTTTAAAGTGTGAGATGTAGGGGATTTTAGTATATTCACAAGGCTGTGCAGCCGTTCCATGGAGCTTCTTGCACCACCACTACAAGTGGAACTCTAGCTGTGCTCTTCTTTATAGGTAGGGCTTCTTAAAACTTTTCCTACTGCTTACCCCTTATTTCCCATGATCTTGGGTATGTAGGTATATAAAATAGGTTATAAATCAAGCATTTACTGATAATAAATCATAAAGGAATTTTAACAAAAATTTTTTTTATATAAAAATAAATCTGGGTACGGCATAATAGCACATGCCTTTAGTCTTAGCATTCAGGAGGCAGAAGCAGATGGATTTCTCTAAGAGTCAGGTCACCAAGGACTACATGGTAAGACCGTGTCTCAAAAACAAAAAAAAAATAGAAATATTGACTAAATATTTGATGCTGCAGGACATATACTATCTTTAATATTTTTTTCAGAGTTGATCAGTGTCTTGGTTTCACATTATCAGTGCTGAAAATGCACTCAGAGACTGAGTACATATATTACTTTGCATAAATATGTAGTACAAAGTAGTAAGTAGAAGGCTATTTAGGCCCATGTCAGGAAGGGTAGGAAATTCTCTCCTCATCCCAAGTCAGAGTGTATATTGTATATGTATTTAAAAGGTTTTAGTTCTGCTTCCCTGGGCCTGCACGACCCGCAGGCTTCTCTCCGGGACCAACCCAGCTCCTCAGTGCAGTCCCCAGGAGCCCTTGGGGCCATTTCCAGACCCCATCTTCCTTTGCATTTCTGAGTGGCATGGCCACCAGCTTCCCTAGACCAGCATCTTTCCTGGCCCTGGCTCCCAGGCCAGTCCAACCCCCAAATTCCTGAGGCCAAAATCTTTCCTGGAGGGATCCAGACCTTAGGAGAAAGCCTGAGAGCATCTGAGCCTCATCTGACTTGGGCCTCTTTGGGAACTCCTGAAGACAAAAGCAATCCGGCTACTCCAATATAAAATCAAAAGAGAGAACCGGAAGCTTAGAGGAACCAGCTTTTCATGCCCAAAAAGTAAACCACAAAAGCACATAAAGTTTACGAAAAGAAGCAGACCTAAACTTGAAGGCTTGCGTCTCACGCAAGAATAAGAAACTACAAAAGAAATTCACATGTCAAAATCACAGAGAAAAATTAATAACATGAAAAGCCAAAATAACATATCCCCATCAAATACCAGTAGTCCTCTAGAGGAGCACAAAGAAAATCCCCTAGAGATAATGCAGGACATGGAACTCAAAAGAATAATTATGAACATGATAAATGATAACAGAATTCAGTGAATTTAAAGAACACACAAAGAAATCAAAGAATTGAAAGAAGATAGGGATAAACTTCTGAATGAATTCAGAAAAGAGTTAGAAATATTGAAGAATACTCAGGCTGAAATGAAGAAGGAAGTGAAACACTCAGTAAGCCAATTAGAAACGTCAGGAAAAAGCCTCACCAATAGGATGAATGAAATGGGAAACAGAGTATCAAGACTAGAAGATAAAGTGGACGAACTAGACCACTCAGGCAAAGGTTATGAAAAATTTATGAAATCACAAGAGTGGAATATGCAGGAATTATGTGACACCATAAAAAGACCAAACTTACGAATCATAGGCATACAGGAAGGAGAAGAATGCCAAGATAATGTCATGGACCAGGTCTTCAACAGAATTGTGGAAGAAAATTTCCCAAACTTAAAGAAAGACATGCCCATACAAATACAAGAAGCATACAGA